ATACTACTACGCGGAATATCAGACGAGATCTTTGGTAGTTTACGGGCGATATTATTCATATTTATATATGAACGTATTCGGTGGTTTATGGTTTAATATACGGCCTCGAGAGTATCAGTAGGCCCAGAATGGGCGGGGTCGTGGCTTGGGTCGAGTGAGAGACATGGAGCGACCTCAGTGTTCTCAGTGGTGAGCTGCACGGCCATCGCCGACCGTCGGTTTCGCCTAGCGCAACCAACGTACTCTGCTATGACATCACTCTGAAAATCCCAGATTATCCCAGTAAAAGGTAGGCAGGAGTTTTCCCTCCGAAAATTTGGACGCGCGCTGTCTCTCTATCTCTATCTCTCTCGCTCGCTCGACCCTGTCTTTACCTCACCCTAACGGTGTGCTGTCCCACACTTCCATTCGCTTTTTACATAGACTTCCCAAACGCGTTTTTTTCTGGTGACTGAACTTGAAATTTTTAGCCCCTCTCCCTTTACCCGCGCCCGAAAAGCTTCCTGCTCCTACCTCACCTCCCCACCCCGTTCTCGTTTTCCTTTCTTCCTCATTTTCTACCTACCACCACCATTCGACACGCATTTTGCCCACCCTTCTTTGTCCGCTCGGTTCGTATTTGGCTTTCGTTGTGGTATTCCACCTTCGATTTTTTGATAAGTGTCCTTCGCGGACAGAGGATGCACAGTACGCGTGGTGAAATACCTACATGCACAGGAAAGATTTACAACACGTTCCGAACGCACCAAATGCACCAGTGTCGTACGCAACGATTTTTTCTTCGATTCGTTGTTCTCATTTTAACCACCGTATTCTTTTTCCTTTATCTCGTTCCAACCGAGATCCGTATATATACGACAAGCACACATGTACGTAGACGAGTGACACGAGTTTGTTTATATGCGAATGCTTACGCGCGTTCCGCATATTCCGCGAAAGCATACATATACGTTTACGTGGCAAAGCTTTCTTCTCAAACTTTTTTCGAGCTTGTTCCTATCGTTGTGTTCACTCAACATAACCAAAATAGATCGTCGGTTATTTATTAAAGAATTCAACAAAGTGAGAGGTACTGGGATCATTCGAAAACGACAAAGTCTTTCGATTAACTTCACGGAAATATTTAGCGCAATCCTTTAAATTTCTAATTGGACGCTGCTTTGACCCTTTAAATTTAAACGCATGTGACGTGCAATCAATTACATGTTTAGACTATATGTACATATAAAACAACACTAATAGTTCGTTGTACATAGCTATAGATAGCGAAACATCGTTGCTTGTATCAGTATGCAATCATTTTTCGATCCTTGCCATCGTTTATTAATCACGGGTTTTCATCTGCCTTTACGTACACACGTGTAAATGCAGTTTTAAGTAATTTGTGGATGTACAGAGATCCCGCTTTCAAATGGAATTATTTGATCGCAGATAACAGATATTTTATTCGTTTTGTTTTAAAAGGGATTTCCCTCGATTAAACGTATCGTATAATTATTTATCCAATGTTTACAAAAGTGTCTGCTCTATGAAGTGTCTATTATAAATGCATAGAATTTTTCAAAAGTGCTTGTAGAGGGCTCTGTTTATACATAAAACTTGATACGATATAGCGCATTGGGAATCGAAACTTCTTATGCGCAACTATAATTTTTGCATTTTTAATAAAATTTGCTTCGTTCTATAAATATTAATTAATTAGACACCTTTGCATCCACGTTGGCGGAGTATAGGCGAATATAAATTTATTGCAGGGATAAGCCACCATTCTCTATATCCTTCAGTCCAACCTCGAGGATTTGATAGTGCGAACCCCTCGAAGCATCGAATAAAAGTTTCGTGGAAAATAGGCCCTCGGTAACGGCGTAGTTGGGAAAAGTTAAATTAGAAATTACGACCCAGGTAGTCGGCATTGGTTGAAGCTATTCGAGTTTCGACTAGGGCCTATCGGATTTTTCTGTATTCAACAATTTTCTAAATAATTTCAATACTTGACTATACTATTTCCATTTCTGGAATATTTCTGAAAAATATGTATATCAGGTCTAGGGTTGGTGCGACAATTTTAGCCAAGGGCGCAGTCGAGTCTAAGGTCGGGCCTGATTCGTAGCGTTCGCTACCAACAAAATATTCCTACAGTGCCAGCTCTAAATGGTATTTTACGAAGCGTGAATCGCGATTCGTGATTCGATCTGCCGTGAATACCACTTAACAGGCAGTAATTTAAAAAAAGATACTAATAACGCCAGGAGAAACGAAACGGCGAACGGAGTAGTCTGCGTGGTTTCGCTTCCCGGATTTCCTGTTCGACTCGTCGTCTGCACAATATTTTCTGAATCATCGTCGACTTCGATAAGGTTGGGTCGAACCATCGACAACGTCAGACTCAATTTTGTCGTCAGGATGGAAAGGAAGAGACCCAGATTTCGCGAGAACGGGGCGGATCCGCAGTGTAGGAACCGCATCGACGATAACACGGGCGTCGTGGCATTAGAGCCACAACGTTCTCTCGGGTTCTCGTGTCAACACATTCCCGACGCCCACGACGAGTGACGCATGCGCCCTAAGCGCCTTATCGTTCTTCCTCCTTCGCTCCTTCGCTCAGCTCCTCCTCCCCCCCCCCCCACTCCCCTCCCTCCTGTCCCTCCCCCTCGCCAGCCCCAGTCCTCTTCTCTTCTCTTCGGCTGATTCACTTGCTCGTTCTCTTGGTTCTCTCGGCGTGCACACAAAGGCTCCCTTCTATTCCTTGGATACGCCCCTGGCTTTTGTACGAGCACCCTTCTCGCCATCAGGGCCTCTCCGGGTCGGTAGGCTGAAATTTCTAATTCGCGAGGGTGCATAGACAATGCGGGATCGTTAAAACAATTTCTGACTTTAGAGGATTCGCTGCTCGACGTGTTCAACGTTGGTTCGAAAACTGGAAAATTACAGCATAACTCGATACTTATTCTTTCTTCGAAGCCCCCTCCAATTGAACCCTTCGACGCGTACGTTCCTGCCAGGAGCGTAAACCTAATCGCTCTTTCCCCCTCCATCGCTGAACGTAGTCGAGTTCCCTCCTCTTCCGCTCCCACTGCACACACCAATTTTCCAATTGATAAGGGTGCACAGTTGATACAGACTAACCCTATCCCTCCATCCTCTCTTTCACTGTCACTCCGTCTCTTTGTTCGTCTCGTCTCCCCTCTTTATCGTGCTGTAAAGTTAACATAGCTGCGCCTGATAATATCGGTTTGTTTTTCGAAAGCACGGTCGAGGCGATTGGGGCTCGAGTTGTTTTCAACAAACGAAAACGTTCCCTAACGAACAGCGTGAGAACTTTTCACATTACGCGTATTTATTGTGTACATGTATTGTGTTGTAACATATATTTTGCACAATAATAAGCACTCGAACCTAACCTCAAAGTTCGTTGGTTCGACGATACCTTCAAAAATTGATGTCAGTTTAACGGATAAGCAGCAAAGAATTTCTATTTAGCGAGTGATCAGAAACGAGATTCTTTTTTATCTACCGAGCACGGGGATTGGGAAACAGAGAAAATTCGAGCCTGGTATCGAACGGAGATCTGGGTAAAAGCTGGAGGGGAAACTTGTTCCTAGCAAGCCAGGCGAGCCGTGCGTTACGTAAAATTAACAATCATGTTCCGAAACTCACTTTCCCGTCTGGGATTTCGGGAGAGGGAAGTGCGATGGCATGAGAACGCCACGAGTTAACGTTGGGGACGCGCCGAGTAGTAATACCCTGGCCACGCAACGTTGTCCTTTACCTCGGTAATGGCTTTTTACCAGAAACAAACTTTTGATATTCCGCAGTCGCCGGTTAGTTCCATCGGTACGTATCGTCGTTCGAAGCGAGACAGAATCCAATGGCTCTTATAAAACACTTATGTAGAATAAGTTGAGCTTTGACTCGATGCGTGACGCGTATGACAGCTGTAGCGCTGCGTTGCCACGCGTTGACTTTGGTTTGACCAAAGCGAACAATTCGTTGGGCAAGCATGTGCATTCTGATTGTCTCGCATTCTAATATCGTGGTACGTCATCGTTGCTCAGGGATGAGTAAATTTCATTCGAATAACATATAGCTTTTATTTTTTGTTTCAATGCCTTATTGTTCCCTAGTAAATCCTCTTTTTAAATGTAGTTACTAGAAATTGATATGCTTGGCGATGTTCAACGTTTATTTATCCCAACGCTGACGTAAAATGGCACGCATAAAAATTGGCCCAGCTCCTCAAGCGGATGACTAAAGTGAGGTTAGGTTGCAAAGCTCTAGTTGTACCTCGCCGTTGCGCAAATTATACTTATTAACAATGTACATACATTGCACCCATGTGTACAATAAAGACGTTTAATAATAATATTAAGGCGAAGGTGTTGCTGGGTAAAACTTAACGCAACTTTGTCGATATTGTGCAAGCCTCGTGTGATCGGAGTAATAATGGTCAATCTCGTATGAGTTTCGTTCGACCCTGTACGCGGTCGTCGCTCAATTTAACGGAATGAAACTTGTCTCGGCGTCTAGGAAAGTAAACTATCGTCGCTACGGGATTTCCCTATACGGTCAGTCGAATTTCGATAACTGCTGCTTACGTGTCCGTCTACACGTTTCCGTCTTACGAAGGTTGTATCGTCGTCTCGTTTTTTCATGATGATCCGACTGGAAGGCCTGCGTTTCGGTATACACAGCGTATGTAGAATATACTTACACGCTAGTGACCGTTCGCGCTTCACGAGGGTATCCAACCTCGTGGAAAATGCCTCGTTCCGTATCCAAGTACCAGAACTTCGGTGTGTTTACTTACTCGCTCAGGGCTGTGCCAGTGGGGACCCAGTGTGATCTTGAAGAACAGCGTGGGTGCGGCCTTTCCCTGGTCTCGAAAGTAGGGGGACCGGATTCTCTCTCTCTCTCTCTCTCTCTCTCTCTCTCTCTCTCTCTCTCTCT